AATCCCGAAGAAGCCTCAACCTGAGGAAGAGCCTAAGAAACCCAAGACAGGAAAACCTTACAGAGGCAAAGAGCCTAAGAAGCCTGATAGAGGTAAGAAGCCTGAGGAGCCTCTACCCGGGGTAGAAACTGAATGGCTAGAGGATACTTTCAACTTTGAGAACCTCCTATTCCAGGTCGTAGAGGATACTATCCCAGAAGATGATCAACCTATATTTAGCGGTGATAGTACAGAAATCATGTTGAAGGATGTTAGGGAAGATCTTACGAGGTATGAAAGATTCAAGTCATGGGTTGAGGAAAACTTCGGATTTGTGCTTGCAGGTATTATAGTGTCAGTTGCTGCTCTCCTTACAGCTATTATCATACAGGCTAGGAAACTATCCTCAATGGCAGCAAACTCAACTCACAGAGGTGTAGATCCTTCACCCAAACCATCACCATCACCATTTCCACTTCCTGATATAGTAAGCAAACTAATTAAATTCATATCATCAAACTTATGGGTGGTAGCTGTAAGTATCGGAATAATTTTACTTTACATGAACAGCTAAACATTACATATTGTATACAAGTATGATTACCACAGAAAGAGAACTCCAGCCTGGCTTCAGGAGGAGCCGTATGACTTCCGTAAAAGGTCCCAGAACTAGAAGTGTTGTAACATTTAATCCAACAACTATTAGCCCAGGTGAAGAGCTGTACATTAACATCCCCAAACTAAAGCCTGACCCTTGTTTAGTCCCAGGATCGTTTGCACTATTATTTGACTTCAAAAATTCCAATACAAAAAGCCGCTTTAATAATAACCTGTCTAAGTTGATAGCTAAACGTATTCAGATTAAAGTAGCAGGTGAAACAGCCTATGACTGTTCAGGAGAGAGTTTGTACGAAATATACAAAGATCTATGGCTAACACTAGGTGACAGAAAGAAGATGACTGAACAGGGTCTTGCAAGTGAGAATCTTAGGAAGTTAATATCAGGTGACGACTCAGGAGCAAAAGCTGGTGATGTTGGTAAAGTAGCAGATGCACTTCTCCACAGTGTGTACGGTTCTAAGCTGAGGAAACCAATTGATAAAATAATTGCAGACCATGGACTCTACACACCGTTCTCCATGAATAACAATCATATGTACATCCTCACACTCCCGCAATCAGATGAGATTATGACTGCCCAAGGAGGTGAAGCTAAGGGTAATTATAAACTTGATAATCTTGAGTTAGAATACGAGACCATTGAGAATGACGCCCTTGCGAGTGAAGTATCAAGGATGTATTCAACAGGCCGCTCACTGTCCTACAAACATGTCACTCTTATGCGTACAAGTAATTGGGACAAAGATCTTACCATTGTCAATGAGAACATTAATATCCCCAGGAAGAGCATGTCAGCAATTGTCCTTCTATTTACCAAAAGAGTGAGAACTGATTCTGAAGAATATATTTACCCAAACATTGATAAAGTGAACCTGACCATTGAAGGTGTGCCTAATGCAGTTTTCTCCCAAGGACTTCCCAAAAATAGGTTCTTCGAAGAGGCAAAAAGATTCTTCAGCCCTATGTGTGAGAAATCCATGGCAGATGAATTTATGTCCATCAGCAAGTGTTTCACCAATGGTTTTGCTCTAGTAATCGACCTAAGGTCAACACAAGATGATACCACTGGTGGAGGTAAGAAGATAGTTAACACACAGTCGGGAGTACTCCTGGAAATCAAAAAGAGAGCCACAACAGCTGACGTTCAATGCAACATTTTTGTTGTATCAGATGCTCTCCTTAACTTTGCCAATAGAGATCTATCAAGTATTCAATACTAACGGTAAAGCATAGAGATGCAACCATTCAACATGCTCATAGTAGGAATGACTGGTAGTTAATATGTTAGAAACAGAGTACAATAGAGTATTCGATTACATTGTCATTATATGTCCAACCATAGAGTGGAATATGACTTACATTAATTGGACTCATATTAGTGATCACGGAGTTATACAAATACCATGCTCACAAGAAATGATCGATCTAGTTCTCAAGGCAGTGTCCACCATATTCCGCGGTACTCAGACTCTCATTATAGTGGACGATTGTGCGGCAAGTCAAGATGTAAAGAAAAGAGTCTCAGAACTGGTGCGCTTAGCATTCTCCGCAAGACATTACAACCTATCTGTCATTGTACTTACCCAACAATTGTCATCAGTAGCAAAACCATTCAGGGAGAACATTTCAAGGCTAGTTACATTCTACAACCCTAGTCGCAGGGATATGAAGGTGATAACAGATGATTACCTAAGTGGTGTTCCTCAGGAGACAATACAGAGATTACGAAAATATTAAAAGATGAAAAGTTCACCGCACTGGACGTACTACTTATTCACCCTTACACATACACTGTTAAACTAAACACCGCGTAGAATATAGATGATGGGAACTGAATCTGAGGAAGAAATATTTGAGGCTGTAAGAGAAGTAGAGGAGGCCGCAAAGGTGCCGCAGAAAAAAGCAAGAAAAACTAAGTCCACCGCAGATAAGTCGCAAACTGAACACAAAAGGGACAAACTTATAGAGCTATCGAGGGACGGTATAATAGAGAAGTCCGCAAGTTTTATAAGAAAGTCTAACAAGGATGTTGTAGATAGACTGTACCATGAGTACGAAAGTCAAAGGATGTCATGTGCAAGTGACTTCTTGTCAAGACTTATTATTTCAAAGTTTGCTGCGGTACTAGGAAGTTTTGGTGCAGTGGAATCTTCAGAGAAACTGTCAGAGGAACTACTTAGTGACAAGCTTCTGAAGGATGACGTAGCATATCTAACCAGAACGATATCCCCCAACATCCCATTGATAGGGCTCATATCTGGTGGCTGTACAACGGCTAAACATGTAGTTGCCCATAAGTGGAATAAGAAGGAGGAACCTGAGGAAGTGTCCGAGGAGGTTACACATATCTTACTACATACAGAATGTCCCAACTCGGAGAACCATTCGAGTGGGGAGGAATAGAATTCGAAGACATGATTGATGAATTGATTGAAAAAACTGATAAGAACAGGGAACAGCTGGATAAGATTCAGGCAACTTTGGATTCACTAAAGTATGACTTTGAGGCTTTTAAAAATGACACAATAAAAACAGTTGTAAATATATACAAGAATCTAAATGAAATGCAGTAGGCAAATAGAATTTTTTGTAGTGGGTGGCACACACTAGCAGGAAGCAGCTGGGTGGGAAGAGGGAATGCTGCTCTAAATTGATGAATAAAATAGCCCAAAATTTTTTTACATATATAGTATAGGGAAGATGGAGAAATTATTCAGGAACCAAAAGTTGAATGTTAGCGTAAGAATTGTTAAGAGTGGTGAGGAGGTACTATTCTACGCAAAAGATGTGGCGGAATCCCTAGGGTAATCAAATACGAAAAAAGCTATTCAAACCCACGTATGGAAGCAAAATAAGGTAATACTTGGGGAGTTAAAAGTGGGACCCATGAGTGGTCCCACTTTTAGCAGTCAACCAAACTGTGTTTTCCTGAGAGAACCTGGTTTGTACCAACTAATATTTGGCTCAAGACTCCCAATAGCAGAGGCCTTTCATGGCTGGGTGTTCAATGAAGTCCTTCCATCTATCCGTAAAACAGGATCGTACACACTACCAGATAGAAGGTCACTCAGGTATAACCAAATGATCCTCATAAACGAAACGGACCTTCATAACACAGTTGTGAGTTACATTAGGAACAACCACCCTAAGGCTGTAGTAGTACCAGGTCTTGGCGAGTATCAGGATACAGTATCAAAGAGATGCGATGCCTGGAAGAAGGGCTATAAAGGTGGTCAGCCAGATCTCATTATAGAGAATCCTATGGGGGAGTACACAGGATTCGCAATTGAATTTAAGTCTCCTAAGGGCACTGGGATTACAAGTGAGAAGCAAGCCTTATGGCTCAAGAGACTGAGGGAAATAGGGTACATGACAATGATATCCGATGACTTGATACAAATTTGTATCAGAATTAACGAGTACTTCTCACTTAAGAAAAAAGTTAAAACATTAAGGGTGAAGAATGTAGTCAGAGACGTAAAGCTGTACAAACAAAAGTTCACATCACACAAGTACTAGTTTAGTGGCAAATACTGTCAGGCATCATACTACCAAGTAGATTTGAGACATCTTGCAAGTAAACCCAAGTTATCTTACCAGTTATCTCACCAGTTGATTCAAGTTATCCTACCAGTAGATTTGAGTTATCTTGCAAGTAAATTCAAGGTATCTTACAAGTAGAATTCAAGATGCCTCATAAGATGAAACCAAGTTAAACCTAAGGTATCTTACAAGTAGAATGGAAGATAAACCTGAGCAAATTCAAGTACCAGTAACAAGTGAAAAGAAGAAGGACCCAAAAAGAGTAGCTGCGGGAAAACGACTAGCTGCAATCAGTAGAATAGCAAAGGAGAGGAAAAAGAAACTGGCTGAACCTAGGGAGTCACCTAGTAATGACAGCATGATTACCTACATAGGAGTGGCCATTGCATTGATATCTCTTGTGCTAGCATATAAAACACATCAGAGGGAAACTAAGGAACTAGAACCTGAGTTCATCCCTAAAACAGTAGAAGTAACTAAGAAAGCTGATGAGTCCAAGTTAGATTCACTTGAATGATAAACTAAACATACCATATATTATAGCAAGATGAGTAAAGAATCAAAGATGACTAGGGAAGTGTACGATGCAGTGTTACTTACAGCAGGAGCAGTTGGTATATCAATGGCATCAAAGAAACTATTGAAAGAACCATTAGGTACCCCAGAGAATGTAAAAGGAATGGCGAAGTTAGCTATTTCAGTTAGTCTTTCATCTCTACTGGTCTCTTACTTGAAAGAAAAGAAGTATCTACCAGATGATCCATTCAAAACCTAGGTAAAACTATACAATGGCTGGGGCAGTAGCAGGAGGACTCTTTAATGCATTTGCGTTTGCGGGAGCAGGATACTTATTTAAAATGTTTGACAAGAATGGATACGCCGAGGAAGCTCATAGACATAACAAGGCAATGGAGAACCTAACAGCTGAAAGAGAAAAGTACCTTGAAGAGGTCACTGATAGGAGAAATAGGATAGCTCAACTAAGGGAAAAACTAATTGATGCAAATAGGGATATTAAGTCAACAAACCAGTTATTAGAACTCGCTAGAAGAATCAATGAGTTAACACGTAAGGCTATGCCAAGGAAGCCGCAATTAAGTAATCACTACAAACCTAGCTCTGAGATGGAAGAATATATGACAATATTTGGTTTAGTTGCAGGTGGAGCAATGGGTGGGTTAGCTTATTTAATTCTATAGAAAATGCCATAAAAATTTTCACACCTATAAGTATAGGGAAATGGAATGGTTACAGATGGTAACACCTGAGGAGATAGCATATGTAGGTAAAAGGGTAAATACACTGGAAGAGTTAGAGGCTGCTGTGAGGAAGCACGCAGAGAGTAGAAAAAAGAGAAAACACACATATGATCCAATATGTAGCGAATGTGGGAGTAAGTCTATTGTAACGATAGATGGAGCAGATACATGCACACAGTGTGGTGCTAGTGATATGAACAACTTCTCATACTACATTAGTTACAACTACAACAAGGACGACTACCTGAAAAAGAAGTCTTGTCACAATAGAGTCCGTTGGTTTGAGAGACACTTATTCGAACATGTTGCTTCTAGGGATAGGGACATCATAAGGGAGCAGTTTAGAAGCATAGTAAGATGTATACAAAGACTTAGACTGCAAAGGGGGCGCAACATAGTTAGATACAAGTTTTACCTACTGAGGATAGCCAGCATGAACGGCATCACCTTGAGGAACCCTCCCGAGGATATTAAGACTCAAAAAATTGTGGACATCCTTGAGGATAGATTGTATGGTAAAGTTTTTGTTGAGCTTGGATGGAAACCTGAGAATTGTAAATATTATAATAACTGGAAAATAAAAATAAATAATTAATTAAAATAATAAAAATAAATGTTTAATTAAAAATAATAAAAATAAATGTTTAATTAATATTTAATTTTAATTAATAAAAATAAATGTTTAATTAATATTTAATTTTAATTAATAAAAATAAATGTTTAAAATAATAAAAATAAATGTTTAAAATAATAAAATTAATTTTAATGAAAGAAATAAATTGGAGTATTTAATTGGTAGTAAATTATTAATTAAATACTCCAATTTATTTTTACACATATAGTATAGAGGAATAGTTGAAAAATATGGCGAGTTATTTTGATATGAACGAATTCAGCGTAGAACAGCTTATGGCTCTCAACAGTATCATAGATAGTGATGAGGATATTGATACAAGAGTAGAAGATATCCTTCAGGATAGAAACTACAGGATTGCACCTGATGATAAGGGCAAAAGTCCCTTTGAAGGAGAAAGACAATTCGTAGACGAAGTTGACCGTGATATGGAGGTAAAGAAACCTAAACGCATTCCTTTGAACTATAAGGGAAGAAGAGGAATTATGCCTATACATGGAAATACTCTGACAGGCAAAAGGCAAAGGCCCTACTTGTAAAGGAAGCATACCAAAATCTACTAACAAGAGGCGTTCAGGGATTACCACCAACAATGGGAGGCAGATGGCGCACGGATGATCCTCAAGTAAACGAGGAAATCAAGAGGATTGAAAATGAAAGGAATCCTAAGATAAAGCGTCCCAGAGGTAGACCACCAAAGGCAAAGTCTGACACCGAAGCAAAGGTTCCTAAGAAGAGAGGTAGACCACCAAAGGCAAAGTCCAATGCTGAAGTGAAGATCCCAAAAAGAGAGGTAGACCACCAAAGGCAAATGCTAAGGTTAAAAGGCAAACTGTAGCTGAAAGATTCCTGAGCCAGAGGAAGGTAAAACTCTCAGTGCCTGCTGATAGTGTCATAACCCCAACAGGTCCTGGCAAGTTTACAATTCACGTGGATCTTAATAAGAGACCTGTGAGGAAAGCTCCTGAGGTGCCTAAGGGTGTAGCTCCATGGAGACCGATACCTAAGCCCAGAACCGTACTTCCTAGAGAAAGACCTGTACCAAAACCTAGGACTAAGCTTCCCAAGGAAAGACCTGTACCGAAACCTAGGACTAGGACCCTAGTGTCTCCTCCTAAGGTCCGTAAGCCTGTAAGGGTGTCGAGGGAAGTCAAGGAGCAGCCTATAGTGGTTACACCAGAGGAACACGAAATCGATCCATTCGGAACATACCTTGAAAAGCCATTCCATAGGAAAATCGAAACAGCCGCAAATGGAGCCGCTGTGACTTACTCGATAACTCCTCACTATATGGACCCTCTGGACCAGATGACTGCAAGTAGACAGGTAGTGTGAGGAATACTTGTGAACGAGTTGAAGAGAATGGGTG